TTTCGCCGGTCTACATGGTATAGCAACCTATATGTTACGAATTATAATGCGTATCATTCCAGGAAAAAATATCCAAAAGCTATTACAAAAGCTGCGAAGAAAATTACATTGAGAGAAAAATGTTTGGCATTTGTGATTATAATTGCTGGCAAAACAATTATGATTAGTAGCTCTATTTTTATAGTAATTGTAGTTATTATTTTATAATGTTAATAATAATAATTTATTTGTAATTTTATTTACTCAAAAAATATATACTTGATACCGAAAGTGACTATAATTTATAACAATAATAATAATAAAAATGAGGCTCCTAACTATAATTATTTTATCATGCAAATATCACGAATAGTTATAGTGCCACTTTTTTCAGTGTATATTTTAGAAAATAAGCAAAAGGAATTGCTTTCAAGAATAAAGCAAATATTTAGCAATTTCTGCAATCAGCTTTAAGTTAAAATAATCAAATTTAATATTAAATTTGCTTTTGCACATTTTTATTAAAATATTTTCGTTGTTGAGCATCTTTTGTACTTTGTTGTATATTTAGAATATGCGTCCGTGTCGTGGGAGTGCAGAATCCATGCAGATCCCGAGATTAGCTACAGAAGCGCTATAAGGTATTTCTCTGTGTCAGGTGCTTTGGCTTTAGTGAGGTTTCCCGTGTAATCGTGCAACATAATGCAACACCCCCGGATATAAAGTTAAAAACGCTAATACACGTTAAATTATCTGTGACAAAATTACTTTGCCAGCCATTATTTATTGGCAAAATGAAATATTTCCACAAAAGATTCTATAAATGCAGAATTAATTAAGCTGCGAAAATATGGAATATCTACCTTTTTATAGAAACGAGCGCCCGTCACTTTGTGGAAGCCTTTTTTATACACCGCCTGAAAGTCGTCGATGTTGCTGAACTTGAAGAGAATGCCGGTGGCAGTCTTTGTCAAAGAAAATGCACCTCTAGATCGCATAATAGAAAGTCGTTTTGATTATGATATAAATAATAAAAGAAACGTTTTAACTTGGAAGTCTATAACAATCTTCCATTTACATAATAGAATAATATCGCAGTTAGTTCTCCGTCTGTAATCATATTGTTATTCCCTCCGTTTGCAATGTAGATCTTTTTTGTCTAGCGCAAATTGTTTTACCATTTTGGACTTTAAAAAATTAAGTTTATTTTTCAACGTCTCTCTCTATTACATCACTAAATAGTTTTTAACTTAAATATTAAAACCTTTATTTAATAAAAATTAAAATTTGAATAAAAATGAGAATTCAATTTAAGAATGAAATTTTTTTTGTGCCAAAAGAAGACTTTAGATTGATACACGAAGGTTAGTTCGTTTTGATGCTAAGTGCGAATGAATTTCTATCACTGTCATGCATATGAACTCACTGTCGATGCGCAAAAACGTTCACAGATAGCACCATACAGACGTAGTTGGCTTAGTGGATTTGTTGTCCGACCTGTTACTGTCTTTACTACTTCACACGAAGCGCCAGCTGACTTAACTCTACTTTTAGATCCGAATTGGACACGAAGTACTTTAGGACCTCTTGCGGATTAAACTAAGTGAAGGCCAAAGTAATCTTAGCGCGATGCACAGTCGATACGAATGCCACAGATAAGTTAGAATAAAAATGTTACGTAAATCGATCTTTGTGTATAAATATCTTGACGTTGCACAAAAATTTTATAACTTATTTTTAACAAAATATAAAAAAATTATACAAAATAGTTGATTTTTGTAAATATAATTATTCATTTTTATAAATTTTTCTATTTCTACATTTTATACTATATAAAAAATGTAATTTGCATTGTTTTAATAATTGTTCATTCATTTCTGAAAAATACGAAGGAAGTTACAGTAATATTAGCTAATGCTAAATATTCTTGAAATATTCATAAAATATTAATAAAATCTCAAAATAACATTCTATAGTATTCTAGAATGTCCTGAAATATTTACAGAATGTAAGAGCAACACTTAAATAATCGTTAAATATTCTATTTATACATTATTATACATTTGGAGAATGTTCCCCATGCATATTCCGTAAATTTATAATTTTCCTAGAAATTCCAGATTCAGAGATCTGAATTAACTTGTAAACCAAACTGTACTGTCAAAAACACATTTCATTTGTTTTTATCTTGGAACTCAATTTTAAGGGTTCACCATAGGTAAAATGTTGCGCTCTTTTTATTCTTTCCCAGTGATTCTTATTTACGAGTTAATATATCGCCACCACAACCCTCTGTCGGCGGATGTGAACTGCTTGCGGGTGAATAATTTTCGTGATATATACAAGAAGTGTTCATATAATATTCGGAACATTTCATTAACATTTGAACATTCTATGAAAATTTTTTTGCTGTTCCGGAATATACAATATGTTGAGAATACAATTCAACTCTTCATGAATAATTGGCATTAGCTGGTTTCTTATAATGAAATAGAATCATTTATAGTGGCTCCCAAAAGGTTTCCAATGAATAATTTTATTACATTATTTCAATAAAAATTTTTATGAATAAAAATTTAATACACAAGTACTTAATATATTCAAGTGCTTAAAATATTATGCTTTTAAATTGATTATAACAAGAATTTTATTAACTGAATTATAATAAAGTGAAAAACAGATTGACAAAGATTATTATCATAAAATTATATGTTAATCGGAAATTTTGGGAAGCCACTGTAGTGTTTACTATATCTTAATGAATCAATCTAAAGAATTATTAAATATAAAATATAAATGAAATTTATATCAATGAGAGTAAATCAAATAAGAAAAAGATTTCTATTTTTAGTCAAATCGGATCTTGATGTTTGAGAATATTTACACGCAAATATATTTTCCAGTCTTCTAAAGAATTATTATCAAGAATGTAGTCAAATTACTCTTTTTTTTAAATATACAATTTTTAAATCTTACGATACAAACGCGTGTATCTTTTTTCCCGATAACAATACACTTGTCGAGCACAATCGGTGAGTGCAAGACGGACGATAAAGCAACTAAGAGAAAACCGACGGTACTTGGACACTCGTTCGTCATAGTTATCGGGGTGCGATGTCCGGTTTAACGTCTCTTTTATTGAACGACCTGAGATCCTGGAAATAAACCTCGTCCCAGCGACGAAGTAGCCTGCCAAAGTGATGCGCTCACCGGAAGTTCATCTTCTCGCAGATGGTGGCGGCCTTCTCCATACTCAGTTCGTGGCTAGGGGTGAGCAGGAAAGCACCCTTAGTGAGGAAGTCGTTCTCACTGACCTCCGAGTCAGTGTCGCCGTGGTCTTGCCAGTCGGCAGAGCTCTCTTGATTCAGACGCAACATCGAGCTGCTCTTGGACGTGGACATGTCTTTCTCGCACTGCGTACTGCCGCCCTGTTCCGGTTGCGACATCTTTTATAGCGTTGCCAGCGAACCGAGAACGGGTGATCTCACGTGTCGCCGTTCAAAAGGGAACGGCCGTATATGATTTTACACGTACGTAACGCGTTACGCGAGATCGATCACTCCGAGAGTATGTCAGCACCGGACATACGTCGTGCTGTACTGCTTCGTATCACGTTCTATCACGGTCCTTTTATATGCGTCTCCGCGATGGACAGATAGATTGGGCGAGCTAGATCGACGAAGATCGGAAGATTGCATGACAAAAAGTGCCCCTGAACGCGGCTCGATGCGGCCAGTTAAATCCCTGATTGTTATTGATGCGTATATGCGCGAGAGAAGGATCGACTGCGAAGGTCCGATGGCTAGTTCAATTGTGAGTACAAATAAGCGTGTAGGAGGAAACGCTAGCACTTGGATATGGATTATTACTCACGCTAATGATTCCAATAGATCGGGATGCTCGAAATATCGTCGAAAATAGAGACGCATGGCGTCAATCTGTCTTATAAATGTCAGGCGTCATATTTATCCTGCTTATAACCTTTTAGTATACCTTTTACTTTCAATAGGATACTAATCTAAAACAACGAGCGTGAGGTGCTCTTTTCCAAATCAATTGTATGTCTTTTAACCATTTTCCACGGATAGAAAATGTCGTATCAAAAGGAAGAAAGAGGGGATGATTGGGAATTTAATAAAATTTCCAATTTGGTTTATATTGAAATATACAGTGACTGCCAAAAGTTTCCGGCTGATGAGAAATTTTTATTGTATTGTTTATAAAGAATCTTTACAAATAAATATTTAATATACAAGTGTTTAATATATTTTATTTAAAATATCTTGTCTTTAAGATGTGTGTCAAACAAAAATTTTATTAACTTATAATATATAATATAAACTAAAAAACAGATTTACAAAATTATTATAAAATTGTATTTTGACTGAAAATTGTTGGCAACCACTATAAATCCTGAAACGCTACTCCTTATGTTTTCCTTACATATTCTTTACATTAACATTATTAGGTGAAAAGATAGCAGTCACACAAATTGTTAATTTTCTTCTACATTCATGATATATATAGATCTGTACAGGTCTATTCTAATCACAGGCAATAATTACTGAACGCTCACTAAACCATTGTGTTCGCTGAACGCGATCAATTTGGATTCGCATGCATAAATATTGAAATGTATTATTACGTTCTGAAACACACCGTGAAAAGCTCATTTGAATTTAATTCGTCTTCTACTTTCGGCAACTATATATTCGTGAGAACAACCGAGTATAGAGCTATACTGATTTATCACATATCTATGCCTAATCGGTAGATTTAGATCGCTTAAAAAAAGATATTTAAAAATAAAAACTTAGTATTAAAAGAATTTTAGTGAAAATTATTGTTCTTTTTTTAATTAGCCTTACTTTTATTAATATTTTTAATATATTCTGTGTAGAAAATATTTTGAAGCGACTGAATCATTACTAAATATATGATTCTATTAAAGTATGTTTATTATTGTAACATATACAATTGGTTTTCTTATGATTCTATTGTACTAATTTCTTTGTTGGCAGATTTCGCAGATCAACATCAAAGTCGATCAAAATCAGACTGTTACACCATCGATAAAAAGGTAAGGACAATAAATTATTATCTGAAGACACGGTTAGTGTCTCTGCGCTAAGACATGGCACGAGACACTGCCGTGCTCCTTTAGATTTAGCAGTGTAAGATAGAAAATTACACACTGCCCTCACAGAAATCTAATATTGGTTATCGGCTAATTTAATACTGAAAGACAGTAATTAATTACTTATTTTGAGTCAAGAACAATATAACAGTGCTTTCAATACTCGAAGTAAATAATTAATTATATAAATAAAAGAGCAAATAATTAATTAATTACTGTCTTTCAGTATTAAATATTGGCCAGAGTATTAGATTTTTATAAAATATTGGGAGTACAAATTAGTTAGTCGGTCCGTTTTCCAAAAGATGGCTCCGGCTGTTATGAATGGTTCATAGTGACAGCTGATTTTGGCGGTTTCAGAGAGGTTAGACATCTGCTAATAATATTCAGTTTATATCGCTTTGAGTTTCATACAAAAACCTTGATTTTCACTATGTTTGAAATGTCGAATTTTGTGTTAATCAAGCAGCATTTGCGGGAGGTTTTAATTTTCTGCTTTAATTGGAAGAAAAGTGCAGCTGAAGTCCATCGAATGCTTGTCGAAGTTTATGGTGACACTGCTCCAATTGATAAATCATGTAGGGAATGGTTTCGACGTTTCAAGGATGGAAATTTCAGCGTTGAAAACAAGCCTTGCTCTGGATAGCCAAAAAAATTCGAAGACAAAGAATTAGAGGCATTATTCGAAGAAGATCAGAGTCAAACGCAAGAGGAGCTTGCAGAATCATTGGGAGTAACTCAACAAGCCGTTTCTGTACGAATGAGAGCCATGGGAATGATTCAAAAACAAGGAAATTGAATGCCTTATGAACCGAAATCGAGAGACGTTGAAAGGCGGTTTTTCACTTGCGAACAGCTGATTCAAAGGCAACAAAGAAAAGGTTTTTTTCATCGGATTGTGACTGGAGATGAGAAGTGGATATTCTACGACAACCTCAAGAAGAAAAAATAACTACGCTAACCCCGGTCAATCGTTGCCATCGACCTCAACATCAACACCAAAGCCGAACGTTCATGGTTCGAAGATCATGCTCTGTATCTGGTGGACCAAAAGGGTGTTGTTTACTGAGCTGCTGAAACCTGGCGATTCCATTACGGGCAATCGGTATCGGCTACAATTGATTCATTTGAGCCGTACATTGCGAGAAAAATGGAATACGAGCAAAGACATGATAAAGTTATTTTTCTTCATGACAACGCTCGGCCTCATGTCGCAAAAGTCGTAAAAAATATTTGGAACCGATCAAATGAGATGTTTTACCGCACCCGCCGTATTCTCCGGACATTGCTCCTTCTGATTACTAGTTGTTCTGAAGGATGCAGCATGATTTGGCAAGTCACCGGTTCACTTCTTTCGCAGAAATCGAAAATTGGCTCCAAAATTGAATCGCCTCCAAAGACGAGTTATTTTTTCGAGAAGGAATTCGAAAATTGCCTGAGAGATGGGAAAAAGTAGTAGCCAGCGATGGACAATATTTTAATTAATCTGTTCATTCATTTTTTGTTTTGAAATAAATGGATTTTTGAACACAAAAAAACGGACCGAACTAATTTGTACAATAATATAATATTAATTTCAGAAATCGTTGACACGCGAGTAAAAAATGATACAATATATAAAATTGAAACATATATATTAAGCAAAAACACAAAAACAGAAACATTCTAATATCTTAATTTGTTCATGTACGCGCACACATACATATATTTCATAGAACCTTATTTATCCTAAGTAAATCACGCATCTCGCTATCGACAATGGCAAACAATCGAGTAACGACCGCTTATCGCGCTTGAGATCTCAAAAGGCATCAGCTATGGGTCGCCGCCTCATTCTCGCGGTCATCAAACCCTTCGATGTACGCATTAGGAAGCCAATCGGTGCAGTGGTGCCATCCGGTATTGTCAAAGCCGGCGATTGCGAAACGACGAATCTCCATTCAAATCTCTTAATTGCCAACCGTGTTAGGCGACGCGTCGACACGCCGATCAGAAACCGCGCATTTGTTGATGGCGATCTAACCCGAGGGCGAACGCGGATGCTCCAGCCACGGGCGCGTGTACAATACGGAACGCGTTATGCGAATATCGTGGATCATCAGTTTATGCCGCCGACGGCAAGAACGATGATTATATCTCGATTCGTGGCACAAGAGGCGAGAGCTCGCCGATAATTCACAGGCTAGGTTGACAGTACCACGCGATACTTCATCGTCAATAATCTGCCCGGCGCATCATCATCCGGGTAACGCATCGTCCGAGAATACGTGGGCGGCCCATCGACGCTATCTGCTCGGTTCTTTTTTTTTCAGTAAAGACTCGAGCAATGAATTGACCGCGTGGGCATTTAATTGGATGATTGGTCGAAACGATACGTCCTCGATAAATTGGCCTGTAAACGTAAAAAAAATTCAATAGAGGAAACGGGAGTTTTTGCTTGGCTATTATGGTCAAAAGTTGTTATTAAAGGCGACGAGGCGTTACGTATTACTTGAAAAAACCAAGGACGAAGTGTAATATGATTGCATTGATCAGTCGAGAGTTTTATTTTTCTCCTTGACCGTTTTATACGATTACTTAATTGGACGTCGTATAAAATTACCTTTTTAATTTGTGTTAGCAATAATATTTACATATTCGTTTCCGTTAATAACTCCTTGCAAATCTTTCATAAATTAAAATTAATAAAAGTATATAAAAATTAAATTATATAGGTTAAATTAAAATTAATTATAAAGGATCTGCACTAATTATATACAAAATTGAGTCTCGGTAAAATGAGTTAGTTTTATATATAACGTGACTTATATGTTATGTAAGTAAAATACACACAGACACAATTAAAATTCAATAATGGATAGTTTTGAGTTATTATGTATCCAAGATGCTTTATGCGCACAAGTTTTACATTTTCGATATATCACAGTTCATAAATTATCCATTATTGATCTTTTTGTCCATCTTTTATTTACATTATAAGCTACATTATTTATGAAAAACTAATTCACTGGGACTCAATTTTCCATATAATTAATGCAAGGTTCTTTATATTTCATAATCAAGTATTAAATACTTATTCTTTCAATATCAAAATCTAATTGAAGTATAATAATATAGCATGACTGTTCTATAGTTATAGTTAGTTTTTAAAATATTTTTTGAAAAAACATGTAAACGAGTAGGTTTGAGAAAGAAATTATATTTGTACAGATCTTTAAAAATGAACAAGCACAGTTAATATTAATTCATTCAATAAATTTTACAACGGAACAATTTTGAGCTCGATGGAATCCGTCATTAATCAATCATAATCGAGGTATGATAGACCCGGAGGCAATAATTGTCAAGGGTCTATCGAAAACCGTAGTGATCAAAGAAATGTCAACAGCATCGCTCGTTCGCAAACATTGGTCACATCGGATACAAAAGAAAATATCGCGGTTGCATCGCGTGGCAGACTGACACAGCACAAAGCGTAGCGAGTCAAAGCTTTCGAAAAAAAAAGTAGATACAAGCTATAATTGGTACAACAGCTACGGGTTAAAAGTATAATGAATGAAATAAGATTTTATTTTAATATTTTTTCTGTTAGTTTTTATTTATCAGTCGATGGAGCGCCGGTGAATGTATTATTAAGAGACACTATCACGTTAAAATTAATTGTTATTTATAGTCGCTTATTTACGCCGTTGAGTCGTTTCGTCTTAAAGCTTATCGATCGCCGTGAGATTAGCTATCGGGGCATAAAAAAGGCACTTTCACGGGGTCTAATGAGAGTAATGGAGTCTTGTAGCTCAAGAACGCTTTTCTTCTGGATGGATACGCCCGAAGCATCGCTTCGCAAAAGTATTAGAGGACCTCCTCCTCCGTTCTTACTTTGGCCAGAAGAGCGAAAGTGCAATGGAGGATGAAGATCCAGTTACTTATGTCGTTACTGAAGTTGAAAAAAAATCCATGTCGTGAAATTGTCTCTTATGGCGTTGAACGTTGAGCATCTGCTTAATTTCTCACCGTTTCTCCACTCCTTGGTGAACTTTCTTCGGAAGAGCTCGCCTTCGCATCCAAAAGTCCTTAAACTTCACTCTACTGCCCGCTTCACTTTAGTTATGCTTCTCATCTTATCACACAGGTGCACTATTTCATGTCTGTGCGCAAAACGCACTGCAGCTAATTTAAATTAAATACTCGGAACAATTTTAGAGATAATATAAACTTTCTTTAAGTTTGCCTCTCTCTCTCTCTCTCTCTCTCTCTCTCTCATCGTCTACAATATTCATAGCATATATATTTTACTGTCTAATATTTAAAATTACTTCATCGATAAATGTGTATTTTATTACATGTACTACATTGTGCTACAATTATCGATTAAATTTTAGTATTGTAAATATGCTATAGTGCTTTCAAGTATTTATTTCAGTAATAAATATTATATATTATGACTAGCTTAAAACGCGCATGTACATCATTATTGGTCCATCAATAAACGGAAGAAAATGAAGGACGAGGTGTGACCGGGTTGAAAAGACGGAAGGGAGATGAAATGAAGAGAAAAGAAATGATTGCTCCTGGCGGCAGCGAGCTTGCGAAATGAACGCGGCGTGACTGCCGCTTTGAAACGGGGATGAATTGTAATTGGACGGAAATGGAATTCGGATAGTTCAGGACCAAATACGCAGAAAGAGACAGGTCGTGGAGGAGTAGACAGAGACAGAGACAGAGAGAGGGGGGGGGGG